TCACAGACCTATGGCGTGTCTCCATGGACATTCCCTTCAGTTGTTGGATATCTCACTAGTTTTATTACAATGGCTATCTGACAGACCTGCTCTCATGCCAGTGTAGATCAACTTTTTAAATTCCAGATAGCATAATGATCTTTTTTTTTATAGTGAAAGAAAAATTATGCACTTCGTGCAACGCGCAGATTGGCACTGACTGTGCTCATAGTCTTCATTTCAGCTTATCTTTTTATTGATTGTACCTGAAAGAATCTATTTTTCCCCCATTGATTTTCACCACAAGGGTGAGCCCAAGACAATATGCTGCCTGAAGCAAAGGGCAAGATGATGCTTTATCCTATGTACAGAAGCCAACAAGGCTGAGGTTAAACATTACCTCAGGCCAGATGATAGGGAGTGCAGCCAGCCAGCTGAGGAGGCAAAGGACAGGCCATGCGACACACACAACTCCATCTGCCTCAAGCACCTCAGCATTTGATGCCTGAGGTGACTGCCTCACTCTACCTAATGATAGCGCTGGCCCTGTTCACTGCCATCTAAAACTGCTAACTCAAGCAAACAAGGATTCTCAGTTTTTCACTGTTGTTTTGCATATTGTACAGTAAAATATACATGCAATACAGGCGCTAAACCTTCAGTTATCTGAAAGAATCTTGTTTCAGCTGGTTGGGGGCAGATTTCTTTCCTATGTCTTCCTGTGTATTATGCCCAATGTTGTTGCTCTAGGGCTTTGCCCCTGGTTTTAATATTCTAGCCTCTTTTCAGCTTCTTCTAAGTACCTGCTCTGCTTCATATGACACTATCAATATATTCTATATCTTTTCAAAACTTTTCAATATCCTAATTTAAACATTCAAAATATATTAAAAAATAAAAATATTGTCCAGTAGCACCTTAGAGACCAAGTAAGTTTGTTATTGGTATAAGCTTTCATGTGCATGCACACTTCTTCAGATACACTGAAACAGAAGTCACCAGACCTTTATATATAGTGGGAGGGTGGGGTGGGGTTTTTCTCAGGTGGGTAGTAGGAGATGGGCGATTGACTCAAAGGGTATGGTAAACCTGTTGATGATTGTTAACGACTGCAATTAGTCCTACAGGAAAAAGCAAGGGATAGTATGCAGATGGTTAGCATATGTAATGAGACAGGAATCTAATTTAAGCATATTGATCTGAAAGCAATCTTGAGTTAAGACACTAAAAATGACAGGTTTACTTGTCACACCCTGCACACCCAATACACGCGAGCCCCCACATCACAACTGCAATGCATGGACTCTCTTCTGCAAATGGAAATCAATTTTATGGCCCCAGTATGCAATCACAGGATAACACCCTGTCTTCACATACCCAAACATATATTTCATTCTCATTTTTGAAAGGTTTTTGCTTTGTCCTCTTCCCTAATATAAAGCAAGAAGTTCTAGAAATAGTTTTTTCCCCTCCCCCAGTGATTTTAAAAAGAGGGTGAGTTATATCTGAAGTAAAGAAGGATAAAGAGATGCTGCAAATCAAAAACTCAACAATCAAGACCACCTGAACTTTTGTGCCAGTTCTACAGAGCATTCAGAAAATGGGATTTTCAAGGGAGGAGGGTGGCATTTCTGTAACTGAAAAAGTGCAGAGCAGTGTCAAGGCTGCCTTCAGAGCTGTTAAATGAAGATATTATTTTCAGTAAAGCAACAGCAATCTGTCATAGCGAGCTAGCTGTTGGGCCTTATAGAATTCATTTTAATGCGTTTGACTTTAGTTTAAATGTTGAAGTAAATGCTAACATAGATAAAGAATGATTCATTCTTGTCAAAATTTTGTATACGAAGACTGGTTTGCCGCTCAGGGGATGCTTTTGAGTGTTTGGCTGTAGGACCAACTGCAAATGAGATGAGACATATTTGGGGAGTTGTTGTTTATCATTAGCAATGATGGCTATAAGCAAAGGTGGCTGGTGCTCATTGGGGATGATAGGGTGGAAGGCATAGAGACCAACAGCCAATGGCAGCCAATGAAGCCAATGGCAGGCACTGTGGAAAGCAATCTTGCTGAACTATAGATATCTTTGGTACAATCCATCAGGACCCTTCTGAAGTTATTACTTTCATCTAATTATTATTTGAACTTATAGCCAACCCTTCACCAAATGGCCCCAGGGTGGGTCGCAAGAATATAACAATTATAGTAAGTGCAGTGTGCAATTAAAACCATAGATTTAAATGAAGATTCAGCACCCAACTGCCTAAGGAAGGCTTTTATACCACTCCATTTTCAAATAAGGCAATGAGCTTATATAGCTGAGAAGTATATAAATATGTCAGTAGATCAATCCCTGGGTCCATTACATATTGTTCTGTCTACTTTATGTAGTCCCCAGAGCTCAATTTTGCAGTGGAATCCTCTGGATGGTTCCAGGAAGAATTAATTTTGACAGACAGACAGATACACATGCACACATTTTGTCAGATTAAGATAAAAATGTGGAAGTCAATGTCACTTTGTATACAGTAATGGGCGGTGGGGAAAATCAGAGAGGCTCCTGTGATGCGCTGGAGATAATCTATATTAAGACTTAGTCAAGATTTCAGAGGATAGATTTATAAAGTCCTATAAAAGCTATTTTATTCTTTGTGATCCATTATCCCATAGATGGGAAACCTGTGTCGCTCCAGATGTTCTGGACTCCAACTGCCATCAGCCTTAGCTCTCATAACAAATGTCAGGGATGATGGGAGTCATAGTCCCACAACATCTTGAGAACCACAGGTTTACCACCCTATTTTCAGCAAATTAACTGAACAAAGTTTTCAGTACACTATTATAGTAGGATATCATTTTGACAGACATCTCTAATCTTTTGGAAAGACCTCTACAGTCTTCTTACATTAACTGAAAGGCAATGAATAACAGTTTAGCAGGGGACTGACAGAATATATACAGTGGTACCTCAGGTTACATATGCTTCAGGTTACATACACTTCAGGTTACAGACTCCGCTAACCCAGAAATAGTACCTCAGGTTAAGAACTTTGCTTCAGGATGAGAACAGAAATCGTGCTCCAGCGGCACGGCAGCAGCAGAAGGCCCCATTAGCTAACGTGGTGCTTCAGGTTAACAACAGTTTCAGGTTAAGAACGGACCTCCGGAACCAATTAAGTACTTAACCTGAGGTATATATAATGTGAAGAAATATATTTCTCATTTCTTGTCTACTGCTATCACTGTTGTCTTTCCCAACTTCAAGACTAGCCAGCCTTGGACAACGGCCTTTCATTAGGGTTGGGTTCTGTAATGCAACAATGGTGTGCTTAATAACCATCAAGTTGCTAAACCCTTCTGAGCATAACAATGAATGTGGCATCTATAGAGTATTGCATATTTCCTTGAAATCTTGACCATCGTCATTCCTCACAAAAACACAGCATGGAAAAACATGGAAGCTGAATCGCAGTGGTAGTATTTGTAACATATGGGAAGGGTAAGCAATCTCTTCAACCACTGGCAAGATCAGACAGCTGCAGATTTTTCGCAAAACCCCATTTTCTCTGTCCAGCACTGCATCACTCAGTGGCAGACTGTATGCAAAAGGCTCCAGGCTCAGTCTTGGTTCTCCAGTTAAATAATCTCAAGCTGTAGGGCTGAGAATAATCACTCCTTAGGATCTGGTGAGCCATTGGACATGTGACCTGAGCCAATATGATGCAGGTTTTGCACATCAATAGTAATCTAAGGCACATGCCTTTGACTTGCACTATACTGTATAACTCCACAACAGGCAGCCAATTGTTTACAGATGTTCATAGAGGAAGTTCACATACAATGTTTTCCATGGAATAATCGCAAATATTAAATTAGATACCGAACATGTGACTCCTATCAGCAGAGTGAGTGCCTGTCTGTGCCTCTGAGTAGCATCTGAAGTCATTCTCAGTTACCAAGGCATGTTTTTGTCTCTTAATCACAAAAGGCAATTGACTAACAATGGCACTCTGTTGTGTCACCAGCATGCAGAGGGCACATTATTTCCAGCTTGGCTCCTTTTTCTCAGTGATTTTCTTACTCTATAAGAGACAATGGTGACAGATCGTAACAGTAATAGTTTGGCATATTTAGGTTATCAAGAAATAGCTGCAGTTATCTCATGAATGACGTAATTTATGGAGATTCTGAGAATCAAGCTGGGTGGGGTAACATTCCTATCATGTCTGCTATCATATATCATCACCCTTAGTGTAAGCATTTTCTAAATTTCTATCACCCTTCACCTCCCACATGTTACACCGCTTGGCATTCTTCCACATCTATTAAAAGCTTAACTGCCAGAGATTTCATACATTTCAGATTATTTTCATCAAATACCCATATGGCCTCTAACTTCATACTTGAGATTAAATATATCAAATAGATGAGCAGATAGCTGTATGGATTCTCGATGTCATTACCGGAATTAATGAGATTTTGGAAATATCCTCCACGAGAGCAGAGGGAAAAAAACTGTTCGGCTTAAAAGATAATATGTTCACAGCAGTTGCTACGTAAGCACAAAAAAAGATAAATAAGTAGATATGCATGAAAAGGTAGAGTTATGTAAGCATGTGGATCTAAGCACAAGTCAGTTGGAGTTGAATTGTTGGATGGACGTGCTGACAGGAAGGTCAGAATAATTATTTATTGCTTCAGTTTGTAAGGCTACCCTTCATCAGGCCAATTTGCTCCCAAGGCAGTTTCCAACAATGCACAAAATACCATAATACATAAAATATAGCAATTATTAAAACAGCCCAATTAATAAACAAGGAAGCAATGTGTCTCCGTTGACCACCAGTGTGCATGAGCTGTGTCTTCTTGACTCAGGCGACATTTCCTAAGGCCAGAACATAAGCAACTAGTGATGGATAACTGAGTGTTGTCCAGAGATCCAAAGTTAAATAACTTTGGAGTTGGAATTATTTGAGTTTTTGTTTTCTTGTTGCTTATGTTTTATAGGATTTATAAGCTGCCCCATCACTTCTCAGCCTTTTGGCTAAGATCAAGTGTAGTATGTCTTCTGTTGAGGACTATATATTAAATGGATTTTTTGGAGCTGGGAGATGGAATAGGGGCTTGCTCCATCCACTCCATGCATCAACCTGGTATTGCAGTGCCTCCAGGAATGGTGTGCACACACACACACACACACAGAGAGAGAGAGAGAGAGAGAGAGAGAGAGAGAGAGAGATTTATAAGCTGTCTTTGGGGCTAATTATCCTTACAATATTGAAAGTTAGAAAAAGAACTAGTAACAGTAAAGTTTATTAAAAACCATTGTACAAAACTTGATACAGTTTTTTTAAAAAAACAACAACACCTAAACAAACCAGTGTAAAACCACGTAAAAAGAACTACATCTTAAAGTCCTTATAGCCGATTGAAATATTATGGCATCTTGGCATATTTTACAGAAAAGCCATCTGGAATAGGTAAGTCATTAGTGCCCACTTAACAGCCTGCAAAGAAGGCACCACTTGCACACATAGTAATGGGACCATTGTTTAAAGTCCCTCCATCCCTCCCTCCCATGCCCATCAATCTAATTGTCAATCAGACTAGCAGGTATACATGGACAGCTGATTTTACAGCGCAGGAAGGCTGGTACAGGGGAAGGTAGACTTTCAACTAGCCAGTGAGGAAATGTTATCAGTTCCTAGGGATTCATTTACGGTAATTTATAGTCCCAGAGTGAATAGCTACGTACTAAGTTAACTCTGAAATCGACCTCATTTGCTGATCAAGATGCTTCAGAAATTATTGTTGTTGTTGTTGAAGTGAATTGGTAAATTTTCATTTACTGCTCCAGATCAGGACTAGGTCTCTTGTCTACAAAGTTTATTGCTATACTGGGATTAATGAGAATGGAACTGTCTTTTGTAAAGTCTCCAGTTATCATCATACATCATTCTCTGTTAATTATGACAACCTTGCAGTTGTAAGGATTTTCTGTATCTTCTTCCTGCTGTGCTTATTCGACAATGCAATACTAATGAAATCCTTTTCCCTGTTATGGATCATTAGATACAAGAAACTGACTGTGTAAAACTCTATCACAGTATTTACATCCCGTTCCTGCTGCTTACGCTTTTATTCCCTTCCTTCCCCAGCCCCCATTTTTTGGGAGGATGCTGCTACTTCTCAGATGACAACACAGTTCAGCTAGGGTTGCTATTCTAAAAGCAATTTATTGCAGATGCATTCTCTGAGAGTGAAGCAAGGCGTGATTTAAATTTTTTTAGAAGTCTGTATTTCCATGTTAAGAAAATCTTCGAGGAAAGTTCCCAGTTTGATCCTGTAGCAGAGCTTCTCTCTTTGGCAGTTTCTAATTATTGTGGTTATTAATATTCTGCTTTCAGAAGCAATGGGATGAATAAAAAAACATTCTTCTTGAAATAAAAATTGTCCAGACCAAAAATAAGGTTCCAAAGCTTTACTAACAGAACTTGTTGCAAAACAGACTTACAACAATAATGATACATGCAAATAGTTACATAAAATACTGTGTGCTTGTCCAAGCACAGGTTCAACATCTTTAAAAAATGAAATTACTTCAAAGAGAACTGAAATCAAAACTCTCTCTCTCCACACAGACATCATTACCTTCCTGAGGCTGTGTTCTTTCCAGGAGAGAGATCATTAGCACACTTTCTCTCAAGTGGCTTGAGAACAAAGACTAGCTCACACAAAATGGTGCTTTGCAACTGAATATCTTACTCATGTTATCTAAGGTTACTGTAAATACCACATGAGAGCTAGCAGAGGCACATTCTTAGTTAATTTTCAACCTGTCAGGCACTCAGAGAGCCTCACTTAGCTTCAGTGGGATTTTCCATGTTCCCTTTAGCAATACACATGAAGAGCCATTTTCCATTTCCACGTACAATTAAACCATTATATTTAACACTCATTGGCAGTTTCTTGCAATTCACTGGTAAATTCTACAGTAAAATCGCTGGAAAGCATATTTTAGTGTGAATATCAGTGCAACTTATGTTTCTGAGCTCATCTTTTGAGAAATGGTTTTGAGGAGTAGAGAGATGTTGCCTTTTTATGAGCTGCTCTATGCTTCATGGTGCACACATCCATTTTCTACTGAGATTTTGAAAACATTGCCACTCATTGCATACAGTGAATTTAAATACCCAATCATTATTTTTTCACATATTAGTGCCTGTACTTGTGTGCATGATCTTTTTATGATTACAAAACATTCATTTTTAAATGAACTTAGAAGATTTATTCCTCGCATCAATTTTATTACCTTGCAAACATCTTGAATCCATCATATTTAATTGTTGCTTTTATTATTTAGTATAGATATTTATTGCCTTCTCTATATTTTTGCAATTTGTTGATTTTATAGCCTAACATTTAGTATTGTTACTGGATGACATTAAAATCTCCAGCTAATATATTTAAATAAATGAGGGAGGAGGAGATTTGTGGCATCCACTGCATTTGAATTATACTTCCTAACCAAGATTTGAATCATAGGCGTTCTCCTCTGGGATTTTTCTTTCTTCTTTCTTTTTTTACATAGTCATTAAATATAATTTTATGCGGTATACTCATTTCTTTCCATGTCTCAGCTAGTTTCTGCTAAAATAGTAATACATTTCTATCCTTATCCTGAAATTTTCTATTTTAAATGGTGACAGACCTTTTATGACAGTGATATAATCAAATCCAGCTCAGATCAAGGTCATAACAATGAGACGGCTAATGAAGGGCTGTGATAATCTCTTTTTTCCACGCTACATCCCACATTGTGTTCATTAATTTTAGTCAAAGGCCTGATAATTCCACTTAATACTCTGGAACAGGGTGTTCTTCAAGATAGAATTGTGAACCTGGACGTTGAGATTAATAGCAAAGGTGTTGCCGTGGTCTTTCCCTGTGCTCTGGCTAACTGGTATTCATTTAAATCAAGCATCTTGTGAAATCGTCTCCATTTAAGATCTGCTATACTGTTGCATCTCGTGGTCATCAGATTTCATGCTGACTTGCATTTGCATTTTTCCATGGCATCCATTGTTCACCAGAGTATGATTATTTATCAGATGGAAGCAACTCGGTTCAATACAGCATTCTATTTCTTCATACATACACAATCCACAGACAGAAAGAAGCACACTCTCGTTCACATCTCAGCTTGTGGACCAGGAGCTACATACTGGTGGTCACCTGTTCTTCCAGAGCCTGATTTCCCATATTCTCCCCCAGCCTTGCAATATACACATTGTTACGAGACTGGATTGATATGTAGTTCTGAGCAGATTGCCAGAGCCGTAGATTTCAAATGCTGATGAACTGGGGGCAGGTGAGGAAACTGTGATGGTTTCTTTTTTGCTGCCTCCAACAAATGATCTGTATTGTCAGGGCTGACTGCACTGAGCATCAGTTGAGTGACTACATCAAACAGATCTTCACACACTAATCAAGAGAAATTTAAGCTGTGGTCTAAACCACTGAGCCTAGGGCTTGCCAATTGGAAGGTTGGCGGTTCAAATCCCGGCGATGGGGTGAGCTCCTTCCTGAGGCTGGAATTCTGGAATGTGTGCAGAGGAGGGCAACCAAGATGATCAAGGGTCTGGAAATCAAGCCTTATGAGGAACAGTTGAAGGAACTGGATATGTTTAGCCTGGAAAAGAGAGAGGACTGAGAGGAGATATGATAGCCACCTTCAAATATCTCAAGGACTGTCACATACAGGGAAGAGAGAACAAGCTTGTTTTCTCCTGCTCTGGAAGGTAAGTCCTGAACAAATGCATTCAAGCTACAAGAAAGAAGATTCCAACTAACCATCAGGAAGAACTTTCTGATGGTAAGAGCTGTTAGTGGAATGGAATCCCTCAGGAGGTGGTGGACTCTCCTTCCTTGGAGGTTTTTAAGCAGAGGTTGGATGGCCATTTGTCACGGATGCTTTAGCTGAGATTCCAACTTTGCAGAGGGGTGGACTACATTACCCTTGGGGTCCCTTCCAACTTTCTAATTCTATGATTTTATGATTCTATGATCACCAGTGCACCATAAAAAGGTTGTCGGAAGGGCCCTTTGTGTCTGTATGTGTTAAGGGTGTGTATGTGTGTGTTTATGTTAAGGGTGTGCAGTTGTGTGCATGCCTGGTCTCTCCCACTTTAGGGTCAGTTTCCCATTAGGGTAATGCACCCCCTGCTATAACCGCTCATGGACCCACTAACCTGGGAGTAATCCCCATTACAAATAATGGGACTTACGTCTGAGTACAGAATGTGTAGTACTGCAATCCTCCTGTTTGCCAAGCTTACTTTTGAGAATGATGGGCACTACATACATCTGACAGACACCAGAGGACTCAAAGAAAGGTTCTCTCATGCTTTTCAGCTTTCTTGGTTTGTTTTAAATGTGAGAATCAGTTTAACATGAGCAATGGGATATATCATTTGGGAAAGAATGAGAGGTATTAGTTAGGGAGCTATTTTCATTTATTAACCTGATTCAAAAAGCCTTTTTATGTGCTCTCCATTCCTTATTGACTTTCTGCACAAAGCATAAAACTTAAAGTCTTATTTTAAATGGCCTATCACATCTATATCATTTAGAACCTACCTTGTAGATCTTTTAGCCTCTCTGCTCTGTTTTTATGCTGAGTCTGCTGTCCTTTGGCTTTTAATAATTCTCAGTTTTATTGCTATTGTTGTTTTAAATTGTTTGAGCTGCTCTGGGAGCCTTTGGACTGAATATTGGGTTATTCAGTCCTTCTAATAAATAACTAATGGGCTATGTCAAGTTTCTTTTTCAAAGAAAGCAAAATATTGTTTTCCATTTGATCAAGCACATAGAATACTTCCAGCCCAAACACTATAGATATGCAAAGCAGGTGGAAGAAACAGGAAGATGTGATTGGTGGAGATACTGCTGATGTCACAAAGCACCCCAGTTCTAACTGAGCAACCCAGTATACTGACACAACTCATTTATTAGATAATGTTGTCACCCCATGGCCCAAGCTGAGAGGAAGTGGGGGTTCTGCAGTCACCACAAAATGTGAATCCCACATCAGAGGTAACGTTATGTGTCATTTGATGGTGCATGATCAGTCTATTTAAAGCTTGTAATAGCAGGCGGGGCGGCGGGGGAGGGGGTCTATGCAGATGATCAGCATAGGGTCTGCAGCGTGCAAGGAGAGACCTTAACCCCAGGCCACAGTCCTGATGAAATAATAATAATAATAATAATAATAATAATAATGCATATATTCCCTTTTCCTTTTCCTTCCCCTTCCTCATTTATTTCCCACAACAACCCCATGAGGTAGATTAGACTGAGAGTCAGTGACTGGCCCACAATCACCCAGTAAGCTTCACGGCTGAGGGGGGATTTGAACCTGGGTCTGCCAGGTCCTAGTCCAACACTCTAACCACTACACCACACTCGCTCCCAAGTTGTTGGCATGGGAAGAAGCTGCTCTTGGTGGAGTGGATATATTGTACATTCACAAAGTGGTAATAGGACAGTGTGTGAGCTTTTTATTGTGATACCTGCGTTTCGAATATTCACATACATTACATTGTAATTCAGAAAGGCCCTTGCCTCATTGGTAGCACTTCTGGTTAGGATTCAGAAAGTCTCGGGTTTCTTATCTCGCATCTCCAGGCAAGGGTGGGAAAGACTCCACTCTGAAACCCTGCAGCAAGGGTAGTCCATATGACGCTCTCCTGATGTTGGCAGACTACAGCTCCCATCACCCCACACCATTGCCATGCTTGCTGGAGCTCATGGGGGTTGGAGTCAAATAGCATCCAAAAGTCACCACCACATTGACTACTTCTGCCCAGGAGCCTTGCTGTCAGTCAATGTGCAGACCAAACTGAGTCAGGTTAGCCAATGGTCTGATCTGTTATATGGTAGCTTCTTAGGTTCCTAACTTGTAATCATCACAGCAGCCTCATAAAGTTTCCACCACAGAGGAAACTCAAGGCCTAGATTTTTTTAAAAACAAAACAAAACACCACCACAAAACCTTAAAAGTCTTACAGGTTTGTTTTTCTCCTGAAATGAATTATCCTGAGTGAAAAACAAGATGTCAGTTCAGGCAGAGCTGTCTTCCCAGACTGTCTTCTTTTTAAGACGAGTAAAATAATGGTGTTCAGCCAGAGCTTGAGGGGATACACTTTATTAGGAAAGGGCTTTAAGGTGGTTTTTCTCTAATTGTCTTGCCTCTCTCTCTCTAAAAACTACATCTATCAACATTCAGTCCACCCTATTCTGGGTTCTGGTGTTAAGCACTTCAGTCAGGGAATTGTATTAGAGGTTTTCAGAAAGTACTAGCAACAATGCATATTTTTATTTTTATTTTTTTAAAGCATTCCTACCATGATCTTCAGCTGGAAAGGCTCCCAGAGCACCAGATTAATTAAAGAAAGACCATCCCTCACCTCAGACAGCCCCTGAACTATAATGTAGAAGACACAACACAAAAAGAAAGAAAAGCTCTCATAATTACCAATATACAGTTTTATACAGGGATGCGGGTGGCGCTGTGGGTAAAAGCCTCAGCGCCTAGGACTTGCCGATCGAAAGGTCGGCAGTTCGAATCCCCACGGCGGGGTGCGCTCCCGTCGCTCGGTCCCAGCGCCTGCCAACCTAGCAGTTCGAAAGCACCCCCGGGTGCAAGTAGATAAATAGGGACCGCTTACTAGTGGGAAGGCAAACGGCGTTCCATGTGCTGCGCTGGCTCGCCAGATGCAGCTTGTCACGCTGGCCACGTGACCCGGAAGTGTCTGTGGACAGCGCTGGCTCCCGGCCTATAGAGTGAGATGAGCGCACAACCCTAGAGTCTGGCAAGACTGGCCCATACGGGCAGGGGTACCTTTACCTTTACTACAGTTTTATACATTGACCAGTAGCAAAGGACTATAGCTTAGTGTTAGAGCATCTGCTTTGCATGCAGAAGTTTTGATAACCAGCACGTCCAGGTAGGGTTGAAATTGCCCCCTGCCCAAAACTCTGGAGAGCTACTGCCAGTCAGTGTAGACAGTTCTGAGCTGCATGGACTAAGGGTCTGTCTCGATATAATGCAGCTTCCTATGTTACTCATGAAAACAGTTCAGGGAGAGGAGGAGCCAAATAAATAGAGATGGTGTCTCAGCCGAGCTCTATAGCCCCATCTCTTCCCTCTGCTGCAGCCAGATGGAATGTTAAAGGAGGAGCCACAGGGAAGGGATCTCTTTGGAGAACCAATGGTGGATCCCTCCTTCCCACCTGTACTTCAGCCTGATGGAATAGCGGGTGCTGGGTGACAGCCTGTGTGTGTGTTCTGGGTTGCTCAATGGCACAGAAACTGTTAACTTTCTAAGGTTTAATATTTTATTATGTTTTTATATATGTGGCAGGGTACAAATTTATTACAGTCGTACCATGGAAGTCTAATGGAATTCATTCCGGAAGTCCGTTAAACTTCCAAAACGGTCAAAAATCAAAGCGCGGCTTCTGATTGGCTGCAGGAAGCTCCTGCAGCCAATCGGAAGCCACGGAAGCTCCGTCAGACGCTCAGCTTTCAAAAGAACGTTAAAAAACCGGAACAGTCACTTTTGGATTTCGATTATTCGGGAGCCAAAATGTTGGAGAACTAGGCTGTTCGACTTCCAAGGTACAACTGTATTATTATTATTATTATTATTATTATTATTATTATTAAACTGCTAGCTGCAAGGCTTGTTGAACTACAAAATGCACAAACAGCAAGACACATGTTGCCCATGTATTATGGTTGCCATACCTCCTTAAAGCACATACCTCCTTAAAAACATCTGTTTTTAAATACATGGGGTTTTTTAAAGTATACAAAAGTCTTGTGGAAACCAGTCTGAGTTCTCTGCATAAGCATCTGAAAATTCATCATGTTCAGCAAAATGCCTTAATGTGTCTTAATATAAGCAAGTAAAAAAACCAACCAACCAACCAGACCATAAATACTGTACCATGCAACAATGCCCAGCTAACAGCACATCAGGTAGATTCTTCAACACCAGAATTAAATTGGGTAAATTCCTTACTACCATGTTCATCCTGCTTCCATGTGGCTTCCACTACTTTTAACACTTTTGCTTACTTGAAGGAATATACAGGATGATCCACAGATAAGGAATCTACAGTCGGCAAATGGAAGAGGGTGACGGCGCTAGAAACTCAGTTGAGCAGCCCCAAACTATCCAGAATGTACACATAGTAACAACACAGGAAGGGCAGTCTACTCATCCTTCTGGCAGCCAGAGAACTACTGCTGAACACCCAGCCGTGGATTCCCCATTGCTACCCCAGGTTCCTGTAGGTGAGAATCTTACTGGGGAGCGAGCGCAATGTTCTGCGAGAGGAGAACCAGCTATACATCTTCCCCCACCCATTCAGGATTCGACACTGGCAACATGTCAGCACATTGTTGGTCTCCTTGGACAAATCACTGATCAGCGTGAGTACGAGGTGCTTTGATTAGGTACCACACCATTTCATTTGCTTGCCTCCTCCAAATCCAAAGAGGCTTTTGGTCTGGTTTCAATTGGAGACACATCTCACATATCCCTGGAAAAGTTCTAGAACATTCTACCAGTTTCCATTGATGCTCCTTAAGAGGTTCCTCTGGATTTCACAAAGTGCATCAGGGTCTTAAATAACAACAACAACAACAATTTATTATTTATACTCCGCCCATCTGGCTGAGTTTCTGGGCAGCTTCCAACAAAATATTAAAATACAATAGTACTTCAGGTACTAAAAGCTTCCCTAAACAGGGCTGCCTTCAGATGTCTTCTGAAAGTTTGGTAGTTGTTGTTTTCTTTGATATCTGGTGGGAGGGTGTTACACAGGACGGGCACCACTACCGAGAAGGCCCTTTGCCTGGTTCGCTGTAACTTCGTTTCTCTCAGTGAGGGAACTGCCAGGCAGCCCTCAGCGCTGGATCTCAGTGTCCAGGCAGAACGATGGGGGTGGAGATGCTTATTCAGGTATAATGGACCGAGGACGTTTAGGGCTTTAAAGGTCAGCACCAACACTTTGACTTGTGCTCAGAAATGTACTGGGAGCCAATGTAGGTCTTTCAAGACCGGTGTTATGTGGTCTCGGCAGCCACTCCCAGTCACAAGTCTAGCTGCCACATTCTGGATTAGTTGTAGTTTCAAAGGTAGCCCCACGTCCCCACGTAGAGCGCATTGCAGTAGTCCAAGCAGGAGATAACCAGAGCATGCACCACTCTGGCAAGACAATCTGCGGACAGGTAGGGTCTCAGCCTGCATATCAGATGGAGCTGGTAAACAGCTGCCCTGGACACAGAATTGACCTGCGCCTCCATGGACAGCTGCGAGTCCAAAATGACTCCCAGGCTGCACACCTGGTCCTTCAGGGGCACAGTTACCCCATTCAGGACCAGGAAGTCCTCCACTCCTGCCCGCCTCCTGACTCCTAAAAACAGTACTTCTGTCTTGTCAGGATTCAACCTCAATCTGTTAGCCTGTTAGACTATTAATATAGTCCATTCTCACACATGGTCATTTGAAAACAAAAAGGGGTTACATATGTAATACCAAGAGGCCTGTGTTAGCTGGCAGCTAACCTTCATACCTTGCTGTGTGGAGGGGGGATGAGTTTAAGGAGTATCGTTCACCGTTTCTGCTTCTACTGGGCTTGGCTATTTGATGGAATCACAGTCTTATTTGCTGAAGGAATATAACTGACTGTGCAACGCCCTGTCTTCTTGGCAGAGGACGGCATCATGAGAGAACTGCGGGTCATGCGCAGAGAGATGCGGCTTTTGAAAGGTGAACAGCGCCGGACCACTGCCAGAGTAGTCTCCGTGGCACATGCCTTTGAAGCATTCAAGGAACAGTTTCAGTGGCAACAGGGTTGAAGTCACGTGATTCCTTCCTATGCATGCACCTTCAGCCAACCATTCAGAACTTTTGGGTGCTTCCCTTTCTCCATGGATGTTGTTCAGCCATGTTTATTAAAATCTTCACTGTACAAACTACTGCCCACTTGACTGGTGATCAAAAGTCAGAAGGGTGTGTTTGATGACTGGCTGTCTATGGGTCTGTAAAAGTCACCCTACTAGAGGTGCGGGAAAGAGTGTATACTTTAGAGTAAGATGCTCTTGGAGTGTAGAACAGGTGATTGAATGGGTGGGAAACTTGTGCATCTCCCAGTCTACAGTTGCCTGTAACACAATGAGATTTTCATCTCTACTGCTTTCCTACCACTGGATCTACTCAGAAGTAAGCTCCATTACTTCCAAGGGGGGGGGATCTGTTTGCAATCCTGTTGGCTCAGAAAACGGTGGGAACTTTGTTCTATAATTTCCCCATGGTTTTCATGGATAACACCATGTGAAAAACCTTGAGACAGTATTCTAGCATACAGTTATTTAGGGAGGGGTAGTACTTCTGGTGAGGGACACATTGTGCTCCTTCTGGGGTAGTTGGTCTACCTTTGGTCCCCAACTGGCACTCAGCTCTCACCTGCAAATCCTATAAGTTGCCAGCATATGGCAGTGGCGACATCTCGGGAATAGCTTTGACTGGCTGACTAAACCAGGTGAGGGTAGCCAATAGGTCTCAGACCCTTGGTGAGTTAGAGACTTCCCCTGCATGTGGAGACAGGCTCTGGCGAATTGAAAAGACGAGGCCAATAGTGGGTCCAACGGTCAAGAAAGCGGTTTCTACATCTGCTGTAGAGGGAAGTGAGGAGCAAATGGGGCTCATCTACCTGGGAAGGTAGCCCAACTAGGAGAAGTTAACCTCTGATCCTAAACCTTCGCTGCCTTGCGGTATATCTTCAGGAGAAAAAGAGGATAAGGAATCAATCCTACACAAATCCAGTGTGGAGTCCCGAAGGCTGTTGGATGGCGCCTTGTCTGCCTCCTTACAAGTCTGAAGACAAAGTGCTGAATGCTGATATTTGTAAGCCACTCTCTTTGGGAACCCTTTTTGGCAGAATAGGGGAATAAAATGCTTTAACAGATTAATGATTCCGGTCCATGGTTTTTTCACATTCTAGAGATTGCTGCTGGTTAGTTTGGTGTCCAAAGTTTGAGAGGGAAAAAACCTAAATAATGGACACTAGGTTCCTGGGCTGCCTATCCCACTAATAACTCTAATAACGAAAAAAGAAAGGCATTGTATCTTCAGGAATAACTTCAAAGACGAGTACATGCAACACCAGACAAATAATGACTTTTCTGAGGCAAAGTGGGCTTTGTGATAACCTTGTGATACAGACCAGGTAGAGGCACCAAAAATCAATACTATCAAATCTGCTTAAAATCCTGGCAATGAAAAACGGCTTCCTATCATTTTCTCAGGCAAGTTTTAATGGTTCCATATAAAATCAATGGAACAGAAGAACGTTTTCTTTTTCATTTGCTCATCCTGTCTAAATGTCTTTCCTGGGAATTGGAAAATAATTTTCACAGATATCTTCCATTAAGTGCACAAGGAGAAATTCATACCACAGCAGGGTCACGGTGTCAGTACCTACAAGCATTATTCTGCCTACCTTACACTATTAAGGCTGTAGACCTATAGCTATTTACCTAGGAGTAATCTCCATTGAACTCAATGGAGACTTGACTTCACCATAAACAAATGCACTATTAATTTGGTTAGACATATTCTAGTTCTCTTTTTGATACGCAACAATTAAATTTAGACTAACACTCTCTAAAGTTGGAAATAATTATAATAATCATCTTTTTTTAAAAAAAAATTGTATAATAATTAATAGGAAAAGTAATGTAGTAAGCCAGCAACTTACCCAGGAGTTACATTCCAGGGATCATGTCTAAAGCCAAAATGGTGTATAGTCAAAACACATTGTGTTCAATGGTGGGTGGGATTGTCAAAGTCTTTTTTTCCCAGACGCCCACCATCGTTCTGTCCTCTTTTTATTTATTTAATATTTATTTTCCAAGTGTGCGAGGCTGAATGGGCACAAGTGAAATGCACATAAGTTGCAGACTTATGGTTATTCATATGACATTATGTCTGCATCTCTACCTTATAATTTTTATTGTCCCAACTTCAGAAACCACTGATCTTTAAAGTGATGGATATTCACTCCATTGCTGGTGTGTGAGTCTGGGGGTGTGTGCTTTTAACTTAATAATTGCACTTGTATTCTGCACTCATTTGTATTTTGTCTCGCTCCAGCAGTTTTGCCATGCTCTAATGGGCAAAACATTTTAGCATTTTAGTGCACTAAAAATGCTAATTAGGAAAAAGGGTCGCTATACATTAGTCTCATTTTACTGAGCTGCATGCTTAAATAAAGGCTGGTGGTCTCAGGCATTGGGATCTGTGGGCAGCATTTTCTTCTCAGTTTTTCTGTAGTATGTTGCTGACAGGTGGGTGATATAATAGACTGGTACTAGGCCAGTGCAAAACAGGTGTCACATCTGCTGGGGAATGATGAAGTGGCTGTAGCCTAGATGTTCCTTGTGGAATTTAAAGATTGCATTCCTTTTATAGATTTATCTAGCTCATTAAAACAACACAGAAAGCTTTGTTGCATTTGACTTTAAAATTAAAATGCTCCACAAAGAGCTATTTAATGCTCACAGTGCTTGTATAAATATTTCATGGAGAAGTGAAGCAGAACAGATATATGAGAATCTCTTACCCCTAGCCAACAGCTTTTCACCGGGACAACTTCAAAGTAACAAGTTGTATCCCATCTGCAAAAGAGAGGGGGGGAAGAGAGATAAGGAGGCAAATTTTGCCAGTTGCCCCATCTCTCTGTAGCCCGACCACCACCACCACCACGGCACCTTCCATACTGATCTGAGGGGGGGCTTGCCCTCAGCAGCATATTTGCAGGGCTGCAGGGGGAACAGAGAGCTGTCCCAAATTCCCTCCTCTTTCAAAGGTTGCAACTTCTGCTGGATTCAACCCTGTCTGTTTAAACCCTTTTATTGGTTGGTTGGTTGGTTGGTTGGTTGGTTGGTTGGTTATTTGCACTTAAAGCCTGCCATTCCCCAAAAGGTCTCCGGGTGGGTTGCAAACATTATCCAATCAAAAATTAGGGTTGCTATATTTCAAGAAGTAAAAATCCACCCACAAAAGTTGCCCATTGAAAGGGCTGCTACTGATAAAAAAAGGTTCATTCATCCAAAATGAATGCTCCATTTTCTATATCCAAGAATATCAATATTTTGGGATATACTCTTTTGTCCTCTTATATTGCTTTGCCATGGCATCAAATATGGTTAATTCCTGATTTACATTTCCTAATAAATGTGAAATTCCCACTATAAAGCTATTTGGAAAGGGGTGATTTGTAATTACTCGTTTTTGAATTTTTCTCAATGAAGTCATTATTTCACCATTATAAGTCACAAGAGTGTCCTTTTCCCCAAAGCACCAGCAAGAGCTGCTGTTAAGCCATTCATTGTAATTATGATAGGAGTCAAAAATGAAAATATAGATATGTGTGAAAAATCAGGCTGTCCATTTTTAAAAAAAAATCTAATAAATGAACAAATTATCTGCAGTTATTTTTGGTTTATCTATTGGATGTGCTGCTATACCACAAAGTAGAATGTAATTATGTAATGTAATTATGTATTAAAATCTATATGCTCTAAATGCAGCCAAGATCTGTGAGGAGCTGGTTCCACTCAGTTCACATAAGGACACATTAAGAAAGTTGTAATATGGTTCCAATCTCCCACTTCAATAAAAGAAACCACAAAGGCAGTCAAGGTTGCTATGAACCTACCCAATATACATTAAGATGGATTCTTTGACCACTAGGTCAGTTGTCATACATTTTCTAGTTTGAGTGATACAGAATTTGTAAAATATAGGCAACCTGGAAGTGATAACAGAAAATAATTGTCCATCTGCACATGTTGACTATCCATTTTGTGTTGCCAATTGTGTTGCCACCATTTGAGAGTGGATCACACTCATCCTGGTTTGATCTGTAACTTTTTCCACTGGGGTGGGTTTGCATTTGAATCTGAAAATTAATGGGTTGTACTTATTGCATTATAAGGCTTTCTGGCATCACTTCATAATGACATCTCTCCGCCACCCTCCTCGTGCCCCATCTCTGTGTGAGCTGTGTATAATAGATAGATGAATACCAATTAAACATAACACTTCATTTGTCAGACAAACTGTGTGTTGGCCTACGAAAGCTCATGTGACAATTAGCTAATGTGCCACATCCCTCATTGCTGCTTAGGCTCATGATTGTGAATTGCTACTTTAGTAAACATTAAAAAGGGGGGTGGGGGTAAAATCAGTGCTGGTTCCTGATTTTGGCAGAACAACCAAAAACGTACTTTCACTGGGTTTCCCTCCCTGAGTAGGCTCATCTCCTCCTCATTTAGGGTTGCCATACGTCCAGAATTTCCTGGAAGGCTGTAGTCGAAAGCAGTGTCTGAGCAGAAACTGGTGAAATGACTGGGAAAATCCCGACATTTGGCAACCAGTGTTGGAAGTCAACATTCTGGCAGACTCCCTTAAAAATAGCTCAACAACACTGGACCCGCAGAAAGCTAGAAAACAGAAGAAGAAGAAGAAGAAGAAGAAGAAGAAGAAGAAGGGCTCAACACTTTTCACTTTTTGAAATATGATAACCCTACCTCATTGCCACTGTTGCCTCTCCCTCCAGCCCCATTTCCTGTTGTTGTTTAGTCGTTTAGTCGTGTCCAACTCTTCGTGACCCCATGGACCAGAGCACGCCAGGCACTTCTGTCTTCCACTGCCTCCCGCAGTTTGGTCAAACTCATGCTGGTAGCTTCGAGAACACTGTCCAACCATCTCATCCTCTGTCGTCCCCTTCTCCTTGTGCCCTCCTCCTCCTCCTCCTCCATTTCCTACTTCCCCTCAAAGAATGAGGGCAAGGTGTGTTTCACCTCCTTGCTCTCTCCTGGCTTACTTGGAGGAGGCAAGTGTGAACTAGCAGCAACAGCAAAGAGGAGAAACATCAGGGCCAGCAGACTGGATCCACAGCTGCACTCAA